ATTACGTTGGCCACCTGTTTGGTAAGATTATCTATTCAAGCTTCAAATTTTCCCTCTTGATCCCCTTCACCTTTCATATATATTTTAAATATATATTCTCAATGGTAAATGCATTCTAAAGGTCGTTAGATTTTAAAGCCGGGTTTTCGGATAATGGGTGCAGATATTTTCAATCAACGTCCGATTCTTCGCCGCGGTGCGCGCCTTAATAATTTCACTAGAATATTCTGCCTGTTGCACCAATTATCAAATACGTATTGCACAGTGGGAACGAGCCAATTGAGATATCCGTGAACCAAGTTCTCCTGGGCGAGATAACTTTCGTCAAATGAGCTTCTTAACTGGCTGAAAATAAGGATTTGATAACAGTAATCCCCTTAACTTCGTCTTCGTAATTAAAAGAAAGCTCGATTTTATTTCTGCACCTGAAAAGCTCAGCGTCTCGCCTGAAGGCCCTTCCTTTAAAGCTAATGAGCAAAGAAAAAAAAAGAAAAACAAGAACTAAGAAAACACACCTTCTAGCCAAAATGCTGGAGACGAAGGCTAGCAAGCAGAAGTTATAATACATTTCTGGTAATGGAAAGTTTCACGCTTTTGATTTATCACCCCTTTAAAGAGGAAAGCTTGCCTCATAAAAAAGGAAAAATGGCAAGTATGAACAAAATGAGAGATACAAGAAATTGTAGTGCTAAATTCGAAATCCATAAGTCTTGCTGATCTGCAGATTATAAGGATGACTGAATTTCATGTTAATCAGTAAACCTTAGTTTTTATGATGCGGAAAGCCCGGATTATACTTTTCTATTCAGATCAATTTATTCTTTTGGATGCGTTGCACATCTCAGCCTAGTCTTTTCAGTGTAAGTCTCCCATAATTCAAATATACCACAAAATAATATTGATGACCAGAGATAAACGAAAAAAAATGTTCTAATACTTAGTCGAATTCAACCCCAAGGCTTTTTTTTTTCCCTTGGATTATCAATATTTTATGGTACAACAAACAATCCTTTTAATATTTCTAAGGGCAAATTAAAAAGTAAAATGAATTTTAATGTATTCGTTACTTCGAATTTGTTGACTTTTCAACCCTTTCGAGCTTTTTTAGATCATTTATTAGATGGAAATGTGAAAGTTGTATGACAGTTTAATGATATGGCTGAAAAGTTTGTCTTCGTATGCTATTAGGATCAAAAGTTTATATATTCTCAATTTTTGTTATCTGTGTCTAAAGCTGATAAATGTTTCAAACGCTGTCACGAAAGGAATTAAAATCTGACGCACTATTAAATGCAAATGACATTTGTGCCAGCGCTGTTCGGCATTTCAGACGTAAACAGATGAAAGCGCCCCTTGATTGATGTTGAACCAGCATTTCTTACGGATTGCCAAGGGCCTCGTTTTTTTTACGATAGCGACAGCGTGTTAGGTGAGTAAAAGTATTCTGTGCAAAGTTGCCGCCGCTAACGTTTGTTAGTGTTGTGGTACGGGTGTTATGCAGTCTGAGTAAAAGGAAACAAGGGTTCAGCCAAGTTCCGCAGTGGTTTCAAACACGCGAGCAAAAGGTGGCAACTGAACTGCTAGCATCAACATCAGCGGAACAACTAGCATTACCAATTCTGTTTGCTAAATCAGTGGGCATGTTGAGTCAGTAATGAGTTTGAACAGATAAGAAACCGACTGATGGTATGTTAAACACCGCTGAATTCAGCGAGGGTGGTAAAAACAGAACCAAAATAAAAATTTAAACTATATTTTATCTTTGCACGCCCACCCATTTGGCTAAACAAAGATACGCTTATCTTGCCACTTTCGTTTCATGTGCTTTCAAATTAGCAGTGAGAGCTTCGTAATTGGTGCCTCGAGCGAGGTACTTTGTAGAACTGTCGCACGTTTAATTCAGGCGAGAGAGCCTAAATTAATTTCAAAATTCACTTATTTTCTTTTATGCTGGAACTAGATCCAAGAGAAGAGTAAAATTATGGCATCTTTTTTCAAATCACAAGCACTTCTCCTCACATTATTGCACAGATAGTTTTAGGACAGACAGCAATTCTGTTTCACCACCGCGTTTAGCCTTCCGCCCAAAATTGACTTAAAATTCCTCTTATATCGACCGAGCAGACGCAATTTGGACGAACAAAAGACCTTTTCATGCTAGAAAATTCAACGTATCTCCTTTCAGGTTATTGAATTAGTAACTGTTTGTTCGAAAATTTCAGACATAGATGTATGCAATAATGTTAAATATGTGCAGCCATTGCTCCCATCATAACACTGTTAGGAGAGTTCAGATATTCAAAGATTACCAGATTCCCAATTGTTTGATTCGTTCCCCGCTACATTTCTGAAGGTAGTGACGAGGTTTGAATTGGTAAAGCGATATGCCATGTTGTTCGTTTTACAAAAAGAAGAAAATGTCTGATAAATTTTCATACGTAATGAATTCGCTCTCAGTTAGTCGACCGTCTTACTGGTACAAGTTAGCCAGGAACTTGCCATGACGAAAATTCGAGTAAAATATCATAATTACCACAAACTTCGACTGCTTGACGCTCATCGATCAAAAATCAAGTTTATTAAGGTTAATCGGAATTGATCAGTTTTATGCTGGAGATTTGGAGAACTATTTTTCACTTCCACTCATGGAGAACGTGCTTGAACAAAACTGCGCTTATAACTGGTTTATTTTCAAAGCATAAACAAGAAGCTACTATGGTAACATTAATCGTGTAGATGCTGAGCGTGACTTTCTAACTTTACACTTAGGTCTCGTTCAAATATATCGTGAACTGCAGGTGAAATTCGTATAACTAATCAAAGAAATTGCACGGAAAAGCTTCAAAAAGGTATCTATTGACATAATTATTCAAATACCATGTATTGTCACCGATAAGCCTTGTTACTCAGCGCTTTTACAACAATGGGTTTGTATAATGTCCATAGTTCTTCTATCATTCATAATAAGCTGAGCCAACCGGCAGGCTTTAATAAAAATAAACAAAAAACCTTTTTGTTTTTTCGAAGATGTCATTAGCACAAACAAAGATGAACTTTCGTGCTTACCTCATTATAATTGAGAATCGTTAATGCGTGTTTACTGTAGTAACAAGAAAATGATTCCAAAAAAGGAATAATTGCTTGCTTGCATTTTGCGTTCAAACACGCAACCATAGGCTTTATTTCTTTGTCTGTTTTTTTTCTCGACAAACTACCTTTATCATATTTTTCTATCGTGGAACGCTAATCCTACTCATGGCGACATGATTCGTAGGCACTTGGTTATTAGTAATTTTCTGATCACGGTGTGAAAGAAATGTTTCTGCTAATTGATATTTTCGCTGTCGCTGGCGTTCATTGCGAGTTCTGGCATTATGTGTGATGTTTGACGAGATGAGAATGTCTATATATAGTTATTGTCTGTCTCATTATTAACATATTGATATTGACGGACTTGTATCAGAGTGGACTCGACGTTCCTTCCATGTATTCTTGAAAAGAAAAAAAACCACTCCAAGGTAAAATCTTTTAAGTTTTATATGAAATTGTATCCAAGGTAGAATGCATCATCTTAGACAAAACGTCGCAGACGAAACGAGAGTGAGAAATATGAATTAATGGTCCTCTATAAGTAATAGAAAAAGTGAGTTATGAAGAAGATTATATCACTCACATACTCAAACCCTATCATCGTATCTCATGATAATCAGTAAATGGTCACTTTGATCAAATGGAATTCTTTTTCACAGTTTTGCGAAGAATAAAATATTACAAAGTTGGGGAGTAAAAATACTTAAAAGATAATCAAATTAGGATAATAAAATATACAGGATATAACTCGTACATGGCCGCCATAAACTTAGAGAGTTGATAATTTCTCTCTCTCGTTCGTTTCGTTTATTATTGAGATAAACTATTTTCTTCGAGAAGATTATTTCGTATCCTCAAGCGAAAATGCAATTTTCCTCAAAATCAAAGAAAATCTAAAACCTGTTTTAAGAGCACCTAATGCAGAGATCACTCGCCCATAAGCTCAGCACATAGTAGTTCCCTCTCAAAAATGGTTTGATTCAACCATTAGTAAGTTTAAAAACATTCATCAAAAATAAAACTGCCAAGATAATAAACCTGGCTACCATTACGACATTATTATCTTTACGAGTGAAGTTATAAATAGTACGTTCTCTTCGGGGCGTTGAAGACGTCATTTTTTCACAAAGGAGAAATTCTTGTTGAAATTAGCATCATTTTCATGATTTCAAAAACTTCAAAACATATTTTGATACCAGCCTTATTCTTTAATGGTTGTTGTATATCGATGTTAGTCAAAGTATTGAGGGTTGAAATTTACGCAATTCTTAACCTTATCTTCTCATGTATTCAGGTTGAATTATCACAATTTCATTTGACGACCTCTTATCTTCCTCCAAGTTGAAAAGAACACAGCGTAACAGAGCATACATTTAAGTTACCAGCATATTACTCTTCGTTAAATTCTCTTGCAATGTTCAGCGGGACTTCCGTGGCAAATATCAGTACCAATTCAACGAACGATACAGTTCCGAATGAGGCTTCATGGTTGGACATTCTTCAGTACACTCTGTTTGCCATAATATTTGCAGTTAGTACCATAGGAAATATTTTGGTCTGTTTGGTGGTGTTGGGAACAAAACGCATGCGCACAACACGAAATTTCCTCCTTGTCAATCTGGCGGTATCAGATCTAACGGTAGCCCTATTATGTATACCGTTCGACTTGGTGCTCAAGATTACAGCACCCAACTGGCCGCTTGGCGCCGCGATGTGCAAGTTATTGTGGCCTTCTATGACACTTGTAACCAATTCCTCTGCAGTTACACTTGCAGTAATCAGCTTTGACAGGTAAGAGTCTGGCCTAATTACAAATAATTATCAGTTTTTACATCCTTTTGAATACTCCTCTATTTTCATGAGCAAAAACAAATGTCTTGAGAGAAATGTTATATAAGAACCGTGTGGTTCATGATACATTTTGTCATCTATTCAAGTGCAGATTCTCGTGAGATTTTTTTTCTGTGCAGATCGCATTTTGTTGTTGTTGTTGTTTTTTAATTTTCACGTGTCCCATAGCACAGCTATGTTTAGAAAAGGTAAGGTCTGCATTTAAGAAACATTTGAGTCAAAAAAAAAAAGAGATATTAAGGCCCTTACGGTCCTTACGCACTATCGTAATTCAATCTTTTTCCAGTTATTTCTTTCATTAACACTTGGTCAAATTATACACCTTTTGAATTTTTTGTTCAGAATCATGAAGGAAAGTGGGTAAATTCTCAATAATACTTCCATTTTCCATCTAAGGTATCGTGCAATAGTCCGACCGACAAAAGCTCGTCTCACAACTCGACAAACTGGTTTCATCATTGGGGCAATCTGGGTGGTGTCGTTATTGCTTGTGCTGCCATACGTGTTAGCTTTGAAGGTAATCGATAACAGCTGCGACGAAGAATGGCCCAGTAACACCACACAAAAAATCTACACTGTGGGACTGTTTGTATTCCAGTATGCTTTACCTCTCACAATCATTGCGTTTGCATATGTCAAAATAGTTCTCAAGCTTCGAGAACAATCGGAACGAATGGCGAGCTACCATGAAATTTCAAAGAGGCCAGCATCTCCATCGTTGCCAGAGGAAAACTGGAATGCTGGCAATAGCCTCGCCCCCAACATAAGTGATGCAATCTCGTTGTCTTCTCCTGTTCCAGAGAGGAAGAAACTTAGGAATGGGAATCTCAATAAAACACATCATCTTGGTCATAAGAAATTAGAAATCCAGATGCACGATGTTGCCTCCCCACTTCCAACAAGGAAGAAGCAGCAGTTTCCGACAACATCCCGAGCTTGCAGAATGAAAGAAGCAAAACGACTCGAGCACAACACTAAAATTGTAAAGATGCTTGTTTCCGTAGTCCTCTCTTACGCGATTTGTCTTTTGCCAAATCAAGTTGCTTGGTTATGGTTGGAGTTTGGATCTGGTGAAAGCTGGCCTCATTTTCAAGAGTTACTTATATTTGGAAGCCTTATGGTATACATCAACAGTTCTGTTAATCCTTTACTCTACGCTGGTATGAACGAAGAATTTAGAAAGGGATTCATAAGAATTATAAAATGCCAATGGAGAGAGCAGCGTCAAACATTTTAGTTCGGTGGTTAAATTAAGCGTTACATAAATGAGTGTTGAAGTTACCTCTCGATGCAGGTATCCTTAAAACTTCGGCTAAATTTGTCGTGTAAAATTTGTGTGAATCTCTTCCAACCGTAAACATCCTCGCTCCTTTTAGTTAAAGTAAATTTACTTCATTTCGATGACCTTTCTTTAACATGCCAAATTAATATTCTGAGGTTTCCTTCATGGTTAAAATAAATCAATATTTCGCACTAAGTAACAGCTGAAAATATTTTCACAGCTGCAAGCACTGCGGCTGCACCTCAATATCTTCTGTTGCTCAATTTTCCCATAATGTATCAATCAACTTAGTAAGTGAAACTATTTGCATCAAAATGTAAGGCTGATTGTAAGCCGGTAGAAGCTGAAGTTTTGCCTTTTACACAGGAGGTGACTTCCTAATTTTTTCTTTTTTGTATGAACACGAGCAGCAAAGATACTCTTTACGCGAGGAAAAAGATAATAAAAAATGCAAATGACATGCAAGAAAAGATTCTTATAGTGGAGTTGATAAATACCCTGATGGTAACGATAAAACAAATTTGAGCGCTTGAGGAAAAGGTGAAATGAAACATTAAAAGAAAGAATGCACTAAGAATTCCAAGGGGTCAGTGTAAAACAAGCTTTTCTACGACAAAAAAGTAACAGCGACATCTTCTAAAACCCCAACAACTACAAAGAGGAAGAATAAAATCTACATCATGCTGTATATTCAAGACAGAAAAATTATTTGTCTTGAACTGTTTTGAAAACAGTAGATTGGGTAGGTAATACATATTTTAACGAAAGTAAGATTCGTCCATAGTTTTAATTGGGTTTGCTTGGGATTGTAATAAAGTAAGGTTCGAATGGAAACTGAGAAATGGTAAAATAGTGTTATAATGATTAAATAGCCGTGTGGAAATACGAATTTAGCCATTATCATCACGAGGAGAAAAATTCGCATCCACAAGAGGACACGCATATGTTCTGTTTACCATAAATAGATAGAAGAGACAGTTCTATAAATAAGAGACAGTTTCAAAATGTCTTTCTATACCACAGAATCTAATGGTTATTTAACTACTCGTTGACTCACTTCTCAGCAATGTGAAGAAAAAGTTAAATTAAACCTAAGTTTAAAATAAAGCTCCCGTGAAAAGTAGGTACCCAATGTTAATAAAGCTGGTAACCAAAAACAAATGGCAATCTTCATGTGTGAAAGATTTAATAGTTGGTTCACAGTGTGCAAGGAGAATATCATGTTTTGTGACACAGAAAATAATACTTACATTTCATAAATCATAGTAAAGCTTTTAATCAATCACAATTAACCTTTTTATTTCATTATTGTTTATGAAATTACTGATATTATAAACTATTTGTACAAAGATCTTCGACCTCTAGAAACATTTTTTACAATTTCATACATTTCAATCTATAAAAGGGCACAACTGATTCGCTATTGGACAAGATTATTCTTTTATTTTTTCACATTTATTATTTTACGCCAATTTGATCGAGCATAACATCTATATTTTATCAATTACTTTTCCGTAATAATTATAACATAGTGCTCAAGCTCTTGACAGGCATGGTGCCCTTGCCGATCATAGGTATAAAAGAGCTCCACCAACCTAAACACCTAATAATTTATAAAGAATTACTTCGTTATTTTGTTAGAATTATTGGCATCGTTTAGTTTTGTATTTCCGAATTTACAACACACCCTAAAGAGAAAAAACGTAAAATTCTAATCGCATTTTGGATTACGAGCTGTAAAAAAAATCAGATTTAGCATTTGAGAGAAGGGAAAATATTTTCTAATAGTGTATTAAACAAGCATAGCCCATTACGTACATTTCGAATTAACCAACGATACTCTGATCTTGAGATATCTTCAAAAACCTGAGATGTAGCCCATCCCCCTCAGAAGATTCTGAAAGGAGATATTTAGCCTTAAAACAATAACACTTTCATTTGAAAACAGAACTCACGACGTAGATTAATTAAGAACTTTTCTAAGCTTGATAGCAAACTGGTGCTTCTGAGCTTTGAAAGGCTTCTTTAAATCAGAAATTTATCTTCTCAGTTTTATCGTCGACTTTTCTGAGCAGGAGTTCTAGAAAACTCTCATACTCGTGTCATAAAGGGAGGCTTCCATCTGCAGCGCAGAATCCTGCAGAAACCTTTCCTGAAGTCTTCATTCATGCCAGCATACAACAATGGATTCACACAGCTGTTGATATATACCATAATACTGCCAAAAGTCAGCAGCTTGCTGAAGTGTGGCCAGTTCTGTAAGTTTCCGAACTCATACCACAGCCAAACCACTTGATTGGGCAAGAGACATATGGCATACAGTAGAACAACCATCACCAGCATCTTCATGATCTTCGTGTTGCGTTCCAGCCTTTTCATTTCCTTTTTGTCGCATGGCGTCTTCTCAAACTTTAGCGGAACTAGCTCTCGTTTTGCAGGATCACTGAACGTGTTTTTAAATTCAAAAACACGTGCTACGCTAGGAGACGATACGGAATAAACTTCACTCATCGCGTTCTGCTGACAATTACTCTTCATCGAACTGTAACCTACCACGAGGACGCCACTTGCGTAACGATTCCTTGCAATGCGCGCAGCTTGGTGACGCAGTTTCCTCCCCACCATCGTATAGGCGAAAGTTATTATGAGAAGCGGGAGGGCATATTGGAAGATAAACAAACCTACAGTGTATGCCTTTACAGCCACTGGATGAGGCCAATCTTCTGCACAATAGCCATTTTGAATTTTTAGTACCAGCGCGTATGGTAGCACGAGCATGAATGACACTGACCACGTGACTACAATTATTACAGATGTTTGGAATGATGTGAAACGCGGCTTCCAAGGATGAACGACGGCTCGGTATCTGACGAGAGAAAGAGAAGCTGCATTGAAATTCATGTTTAATAACCACAAACTTAAGTCAATATAATGATGACCAACACTATTTCACTATTTCGATTTGTCATATGTCTATTCGGAGCAAAACACATCCCGATTATTTCGTTTCCTAGTCTCTTTATAAGGGAAGAATAAACTAAACACTTATCTATTGACCCAACTCTCATCCAACCAAAGGTCTTGAATATACCCAAATTTCATCTTTTGATATTTTGCTAATATCACCATCCATGGATAAAATTTATTGACTTATTTGTTGAGAAGCCTGTTGCTGATCAAATGTAGCTTGTACAGATCACATTAAGAACCCCCAAAAGAAGCAGATTAGTCTTAGCTTATCTGAATTATTTTCGCGTAGGCGATTCAAGAGTAATCATTGCCAAGTTCTTAACGCGTTTTCATTACCCGAGGCGAGATGACTTCGATTGAAAAAAAAAAAAAAAAAGAAAAGCGAAACAGGGGCCATCTAACGTTTCATTAATGAGGCAAATAAGCTCTTTACTTGTCACAGACAAAGTATATTCCAGAGGTTTCGAATTACGAAGGCTGGAAGCTAGATTCATAATTCACTAAAGGCTTGCCCTCTCGTGGAGCTAGATATCTTATAATCAAGAAAAATCACACGTGTAACTGAGTTCAAACATAGAGCTTGATAAAACATCCGTCTGGAAAACCAATAAGATGATGCGTACCATGTGATATTTAATTCTAATCCCTACCTGTCTAAACTTATGGCAGCCAGTGTTGCGGCAGAGCAGTTTGTTACCAAAGTCATGGCGGGCCACAATATGTTACACATGATGGAACCCAAAGGCCAGAGGGGAGATGTTATCTTCAGTGCGACATCAAATGGTATGCACAGAAGTGACATGGTTAAATCCGACACAGCTAAATTGACCAATAGGTAGTTTCTCGTAGTGCGCATGCGCGGCGTTTTTAAGATCACCAGGCAGACAAGAATATTGCCTGCCACACTGATAAGAAAAATAGCAGTGAAAATGGTATACTCCGCAATCTGAAGGCAAGCAGATTGTGGTTCAGTACTATTTGATACCGATTTCCTGATGTCAGTAAGATTGGAGGTCATGGTTTACACACGTCTTGTAACGAACCTTCTCGCACTTAGAACTTCCAACTACTCCTTCAGCTTACTCTGTGGCTTCCATTTGGTCCATTCTTTCCTTTGCAATTTATGTAATGAATTTCCTGTCAGTGGAGAAACCATAAACGAGAAGAAAGTGAGTGATATTAACAAATTATCTTATATAAACCTTTGAGAAAATGCACCCTGTTCGCATTTCAAACGAATAAAGTCCAAATGTTGTAGAAATAGGTTAGAAGTTCGACCTTAGGGGTGTTTGCAACTTGCTGTCTTCTTTTAAACCAAAATTTCCAAATTTTAGTCAACTTCGAATGTAAAGTTGCCTTGCTTTCAAGAATAAAACGTAAACTCCAAAGTGTCAGTCTTAAGAGCCTTAGGATATATATGTTCTCTCGGGTGATCAGAAGAAGACCTTAAAAGGATTTTCTTCCGACGCACGTAAAGCTTTAGGGCGACCAATCAGTTATTTCGATGTTTTTCCCCTTAATTCAACCATGGTTGTAACTTCTCGAAGGACAAACGATTTCCGCAGGAAACTGAAAAAAGTATTCTTGGATATGCAATAAAACAGAAATCACAATCATTTACAATCCATTTGGAGAACGAGATCATGAATAATGAGCAACGTGCATTGACGGTAATACCACCTTTTCAATAGTTATACTGTTTTTTTCTTCTTATTTGATATTTGGAGTTCAGTTTCCTTTTGTGGTATCCAGATTTCTCCCCCTGCTTCGTTTTTTTTTTTCTTGATAATGAAACCTTAAAGCATGTCCTGTTTAGTCTCGTGGAGGCATAACTCGTGGTTTATTTTTAAATAGAAAAATTTGTTCGATGAAATACGTGACTAATCCGCATCACTTGACTCCCTAAAAAGTCTGTTTACCTTAGGCGTCATTCAGTTGAATGTACTGCTGACGGCAAATATTTGCTGAAGACCGAACCCCTTGAGATAAATTGATTTCATCGATCGCATTTAATGTTTCATTCGAATTTTGGTAAGCCATTTGATTGACAAACAGGTGATCAAATACTATTGCTTGCATGTCTGTAAAATCACGTACTGAAAGTCTTTAATCTTATTAGTATGCTAAGTAAGCCCTTTCCATTGCAATAGCGACAATCATGAAAGGTGCATTTCCACGATCGCATTTAATGTTTCATTTGAATTTTGGAGAGCCATTTGATTGACAAACAGGTGATTCAAATACTATAGCCTGCATGTCTATTAAATCACGAACTAGAAGTCTTTAAATTCATTAGTATGCTAAGTGAGCCCTTTCCATTGCAATAGCGACAATCATAAAAAGGTAAAACGACAGCAGTGGCGGAAAAAATCGCAATGTTAATCACGAAGTCAAATCCTAAAAGCTTTTAAAGGGAAATTAACGCTGAGGTAATGTGACGGACTAGAAAATACGAGAAAGGGAAGGAGAGGTCACGTACGGAAAAAACGCTGTTAACAACTTCTTTCAGCCGACGAGATTCCAGAATTTTGCTTCGCACGTGAAGTATGTATATATTTTTTTCCATCTGAAGGAAAAATTAGAAAGGCAATTGGCTGAAAATCAACATTATTGTCATGTTTCATAAGCTCTGCTTATGGGATAATACGAGCAACGACCTTTCTTTAAGCGATGATATTGGGTAGAAGTAATAGCTGGTAGAATTCGTTCGGAAGAGAGTAACTCACTTGACATTGTTCATATCTTAACGACTTTATTACATTATTGACGTAAACATGGTAATAAACAGATTTCTATGGGTGAAAAATTCGCATGCATTGGGGTTCGATTCACACGGAATGAATGAAATATCACGAGATATAGATACTTAGCTTTTAGAAATTTGAGCTCTGAAAACCGAGATGAATTTTTAGCTTGTAAAGTCGTAAATTTCACCACTGCGGTGTGCCACTCAGGCGTGGTCGCACGGACGCGTGGGAAGCCCAGCTAAAAATACCGTTGTGGATTTGGCCAAATTTTATATCTAATAAAAGAATCTTCTTTAGCATGATGAATGTGATTGTGCCTTTTCTATCTGTTTAAGGGTTCGTACAGAAAATGCACACGTTTTGGGAAGCACCTGCTTATATACTTTTTTTTCTCGACACTGACAGGCAAAATGTAGTCCCTCTATTTTGTATTCGAAGAG